TCGTCTCTTTTCTTTATTTTTGGTTTATTGTCTTACTTTAAAGTCTCTTTTAGCTTTCTTTCTTATTTTATTCTTTTTTATTTGCAAACACATTTCTTAACTCTCTTATATGTTAAGTCAAGTAGTATAGCTTTACTAAAATCCTGTATTGCTATATTACAGTTTTGACGACAATGATAGAACCTAAACTTTTTGTGTCTATTGTGATTTCTAATTTATTGTTTCTTTAAAATTTTTTTTCTTGTTATTTATCTTCTATATAAAACAACACCTCTTTTATTTTATTTTTATTTACTTTTTTTGATTTTTAATTTTAATTTTTATTATTTTAAATATTCTCTTTCTTGTAAAATAATATATTTTATATATTATTTTAGAATTTAAGGCTATATATAGTCATTGATAGTCTGGGTATTAGTATTATTTCCTCTGATTATATCTTAGAATATCTTTAAGTTTTAGTGGCTAATACTCCTTATAAAGGGCAAATATTTTTGTGTTATATCTGGTCATACACAAAGGACAATAGGTGCCACCCCATATATTGACCTATTGTGAAATCCTTATAGTGCCTTAGGAGGTTATTGAATTGAATTTTGTTAAACACTTCTTAATTTTTTTTTACTTTCTTAAAATTTTATTTTATAAATTTAATTCTATCCTAGTGATAGTATTTTAAACTTTTATTTTTTTTAAAAAAAAAAATATTATTATTGCAATTACAATCAATTGAGTAAATTAACTTTCAAGATATTGTGTTGCAATTTTCTTTAAATTTATTCTTTTTCTTCTTTTTCTTTCTTATTATCTTTTCTCTTCTTTATAATATTTTATTTTTATTTTTATTTTTTTATTTATATTTTTTATTAATTATATTCTAAAGATCTTTTAACTTATAAACTTACTGTAAAATCTATCAACAATATATCAACCCCAATATTTTAACAATTGCTCTACTACTTCACAACCTTTTCTTGATGCTTTTAGAAAAAGTCTTCTTTCTTTATTTTAATAAATAATTCAACAAGCAGTTGATAAAAGACCAAATTTTTAAAATAATAATAGCAGATACAAATATTATAATAACAACAAACCAGTACAAAAAAATTACAAATGCAAAAGATGTTAGAAATTTGAACATATTGCTAAATACTATAAAGCACCTGCTTGCTTTAAATGCTATAAAATTGAATATATAGCTCGGAATTGTTATTTAAATCAAAACTGAAGAAACAACAAGTGCAATAACTATCAATTGCAAAATAATAATAATTATCAATCTCAAAACAATCAATCTCAACAAAACAACAATTTGCAACAAACTGTTCTACAATTAAATAATTCTCAACAAGAAAGATATACTGTTGCTCAATAATTTCTTGAAACAATAAATAAACAAGTTAATATTGAAAAGCAAAAGAATCAAAATAGTAGAATTAATTAAAGTTTTATAACAAAGCCAAAGGAAAATATTACTTTTACTTAAATAAATAATCAACAAAAATCAGGTTCAACTTAAGAAGAAACCAATACTTCTACTTAAATAATTAGTCAACCATCAACAATACAAAATAAAGATAATAAAAATCAGTTAAATAATACCATTTTAGAAGATAATATTTCTTATTATCTAGATCAAATCAAGGCTTGGACTAATAAAAATTTAATTACAAAAAGAAAACTAAATTTACTATTAAAATTGACAATATAATTAAATAGTATATTAAATACTTTATTTGATAAAACTATAAAAATCAATACAAATTTTTATATTTTTATTACTTTTACAAACTTTATTATTCTTTATAACAAACACATTTCAATCTATCTATATCTTTTATCCTAATCTATTTTTTTTAACTTCTTTTTCTTTAACTTTTCGTCTATCCTTTATTCACGCAAAACATCATTATTGACCTACTTAACCTATTTTTATTGACCCACCCAAAATAAAAAAATTACCCATCATATTTATCACATCAGTATCTCTATTACTTAGCTATATAGTGTAATATAATGTATTATAACTTAAAACTACCTTTTATTTACTAACAAAAAGTTTCACTAAGCAATTTTACTCTAAACTATTCTAACCTCTAACCTTAATAAAGTTCTAACCTTAACATAAACGACAGTATATTATACTAGATATTTGATATATAATAATCGTAACATATTACACAGGTCAATAATAATAGGTAATTTTTTTATTTTCAGGTAGGTCAATAAAAATAGGTTAAGTAGGTCAATAATAATGTTTTTGCTTTATTCATATTAAAAAAAAAATTTTTTTATTAACTTATTACTATTTCTATTATCTTTTCATAATTCTTCTTTAAAAGCTCTTCTTTTTTGATTTAAAGTTTTATTAATTCACAATTTTAATTTTTTTTTAAAACAATTAATTTATTTACAAAATTTTTAAAATTATATTATTATTTAAAAAAAAAAAATAAAAATAAATTTTTACAAAATATTATTCAACTGTACTATTTGAACCTTCCTCTGCATTAACAAACATATCTTCTTCTACCTCTTCCAACTCTTCTCTTCTTCTACCTTTAACATAAACTCTTCTTTCTCTTTCTTGATGAAGCTCCTCTTCTGCATCCTCTAATCTTGCTTAAAGTCTATTTCTCTCTATAAGCAATCGATCATATTGCTGTTCTCTTGGCCAATTTCTTGCAATTAAGTCAACTATTGTTTCTTGCTGCTCTTCAATAGTTCTATTTAGCCCAGCAATTTGGTTATTTAAAACTCTGATTTGCCTTCTTAATTCTTGAATTTCTCTTGCCAGCCTATTATATTATA